CGACCTAATCTAGCTGCAGTTCATCCAGTATTCCATATTTCTATGCTCTGGAAGTATCACGGTGATCCGTCTCATGTGTCGGATTTCAGCTCAGTCTAGTTGGACAAGAATTTGTTTTAATTGAGGAGCCGGTGGCCATTTTGGACAGGCAGGTCCAAAATATGAGGTCGAAGAACATTGCTTCAGTGAAGATTCAGTAGAGGGGTCAACCAATCGGGGTGGCGACTTAGGAGACCGAGCATGATATGCATAGCCGTTATCCTTACCTTTTTACCACTTCAAGTATATCTCTATACTCATTCGAGGACGAATGTTTGTTTTAAGGGGGGGCGATGTAACAACCCAGCCATTCGTTTTGAGTATTTTAGTCACGATCCCCTATATAGTGCCTCTTCTATGTTATATTATGGTTGCAGGACTGTCCAGGGTGTTTGGTTTTAGTTTAGGGTGAGTTTCAGAGTGAATTGGGACACATAGTCCCTAAGTTGGTGGTTTAACTTTGAAGAGTTGACCGTAGTTTGACTTTTGTGTAGACAACTCCGGAATGGAGTTTTACAGTTCCAACAGCTCCGTATGGTGATTTTGGACTTATGAGCGTGTCTGGATGTTGATTGGGAGGTCCGCAGGTCGTTTCGGCGTGAATTGGCGAAAGTTGGAAAGTTAAAGGCTTGGAAGGTTGGGAAGTTTGACCAAGAGTTGACTGTATTGATATCGGGGTCGGATTTCGATTCTGGAAGTTGGAATAGGTCTGTCATGCCATTTATGACTTGTGTGCAAAATTTGAAGTCTATTGGAGTTGTTTTAGTATGAATCGGCATTGGTTTCGAAATTCGGAAGTTTATAGTTTCATAGGCTTGAATTGGGTTTCGATTCATAGAATCAACATTGTTTTATGTGATTTTTATCCTCGAGTAGATTCATTATGTGTTTTGAAACTTGTCGATATATTCGGACGGGGCCCTGGGGCCCCGAGTGTGATTCGGATCGAATCCGGACCAATTTTTGGACTTGTGCAATTGCTGAAGTTTTCCAGCATCTAGTGTCATTGCACCTATGGAGAGACTGGCCGCAGGTGCAGACTCGCATAAGCAAGCTGTTGATCGCAGAAGTGAAGCTGGCTTGCTCAGTTGGGGTCGTAGAAGCAGGATGATCTACGCAGAAGCGAAGTCACTCTTGTGATGGAAGGAAGCCCAGGAGCGGGATGGATCGCTCGTGTGACTTTTTTGCCGTAGGTGCGCATGCGGAGATGCAGCCTGGTTCTCGCAGAAGCGGAGGTTGCTGGGCGAAGTCATAACCTGCGATGGAAATTCCGCATGTGCGAGTTCCCTGGGCAGAAAATGGCCAAGTCGGGGGTTTGGTTTTCATAACCTATTTTTGGTCTTGGAGAGCTCGGTGTCGTGCGATTTACCGAGAGTTTTTCAAAGAAAACATTGGGGTAAGAATTTCTAACTCGGTTTTTAGTTAAATTACACGAATTTATTGTTATTTTTATCATTTAGTGGTCTGAGTTGGAAAATTGGGAAAAAATTGTGAAAATTTCTAAGGCTAAAATTTGGCAATTTGAAAGGCGATTTGAGGTCGGATTTGAGTAATTCTTGTATGGTTGGACTCGTTATCGAATGGGTGTTCGGATATTGTAATTTTGGTCAGGTTCTGAGACGCGAGCCCGGGTTCACTTTTGAGTTGACTTTTATTTCTTTGTAAAGATCGTAATTTTATTGTTCGAATTAGTTTCCTATAGTTTATATTTGTAGTGTGAAGTTGTATTGGCTAGATTCGAGCCGATCGGAGTTGGATAATCAAGGGAAAGGCCTACTAATGGATTGAGTTGGTATGTTTTGAGGTAAGTGACTTGCCTAACCATGTGCGGGGGAACTACCCCTTAGGATTGGTGTTGTTTGTGATAATTGTGATGTGTAAAAGCCGTGTACGCAAGGTAACGTGTGTGTGCACTGGCAAAATGTGGAAATTTACCGATTTTAGCTACGCCGATTCTTTTCATGCCTTAATTGATTTATCTTACATGTTATCTTCATCATAAATTGTATAATTTCGCATGCTCTACTTGTCTTATCTCCTACTGTCTAATTGCTCTACATATTTAGTTGAAGTTCTTGTTTCCTTTATTCCATATTCATTATTTAATTGTTGAACTTTTTACTCGAGGTTGTCATTCTTGGTATATCTTGTTGTTAAATTGGTTTTGAGATATAAGGTATGTGATTCCCATTGAGGCAATGTGTTAAGTTGTGAATTACTATTATGTTGAGTTGTTCACTTTCGGTTGTTATTGTTGAGACTCTTGTGTACATTGTGGTTGAGCCATGGGCTATTTATTGTGAAAACACTGTTATGGTTGATTTCTTTGGCAAGTTGCGATATTAGGCACTTGAGGTGCGAGTTGTGATACGTTGTGATATTGATACACATGCGGTGGTATAAAGTTTTAGAGTTGAAACGCATGCGGTGAGATAAGGTGGGGTTGATACGCGTGGCTAGTAGGGGAACTACTAGAAGTCATGCAGTGAGATAAGGTGAGCTAAAACGCGAGATGCTATTTCGGAAAAATAATTTTCAAAACTAAATTCAAGGCTCCCGCGGTGATATAAGGAAAGATTGTGAATTGATTTATGATTTGAGATTACGAGGCGGTACCAGTGACTCTTATTGGTATTTTCTCTTTTATTGCACTTGTCTTGGGTGGTTTGTTTCCTTAGCATATCATTCCTTGTTTTCTCAGTGTTGCATTATTTGCTTTAGTTCCGTGTAGCTAACCCTGATATGTAATTGTTGTTTCAGTTTCATTGATTTCATTATTACACTGCCATACACTTGTACAGATTTACATATTTATTCCAGTAGGGCCTTGACCTGACCTCGTCACTACTCTACCGAGGTTATGTTTGATGCATATTGGGTACCGTTGTAGTGTACTCATGCTACGCTTCTGCACATATTTTTGTGTAGATCCAGGTACCTCCTACCAATCCAGTCATCAGTGAGTTGAGTTCGTACGTGGAGACTTCAAGGTACACATGCCAGCGTCCGCAGGCCTCGGAGTCACCCTCTATCTACTTTTATATTTTCTTCTTCTACTAGTACAATTGTATAGGGATGACTTTGATACTGTTGTAGAGCTTGTGACTCAATATCACCGGGTTTTAGGAAAATTGTATATGTTGAGCAGCGGAGTTTATTTTATTTAGATGTTGAGTATTTAAGTGTTTCTCTGTTATTTCAGTTATTCCGCATATTTTGTTAGGCTTACCTATTCTTAGTAACTAGGTGTTGTCACGATATCTTACGGAGGAAATTTGGGTCGTGACACTTAAACAGAGACTAAACTAGAAATACTAAACATGAATTTAGAACTTAACAAGTGAAGCAATGCAAAATACATATTGATAGTGAAACAACTAGTGGAAGTGATTGAGTTAAACAGTAGATGAAATCAGAAACTAGATTAATCACGAAGTAAACGATTACTAAACTGAATTAGACTAAAGAAAACTACAAATCTAACACATAAAAGGAATCACAAAATAAGAGACATGGGTAAAGGGATTAGGGTTCGAGTTATACTATAATGAGGGATACTTGAGGCCAAATTGAGCGAAAAGACAATACCGGAACCTCGAATAGCGATTATCCGACCCCAAAATGTGCTTCGGGCAGACGCTAAAACAAACGAGTTTTGGCGTCTTGCCAAAAAGAAGCGATTGTCTTTGAGTCGAGAAGTGGAATAAAATGGAGATATGGTGCGGCAGTGGTGGCGGGTTGGCAGTGAGGGTAGCTGCCGACGGTGGTGCGGAGTTTGGGAGGACATTAGAGATATTGGGTGCTGAAATCGGGTAGAGGAGAGTAAGAGGAGAGTGGGGCTGTAAAAGTTTCGGAGTTTGGGGTGGTGAGCGGCGGCTAGGGTTTCGGTTAGGCTTAGATTTATGGAGATTGAGAGTGGTTATGGGGATTTGGGGTTCGGATTGGTGTATAGGATGAATAGAGGAAGAGAACGGTGGAAATTTCATGATGTTTGGATGTGCGCCGCCTCCCTGAGCTATTTCGGGCGGGCGATGCCGCCATGGAGGACGCAGGCGGCATAGGTGGGGAGAGGGAGAAGAGAGAGTGAAGAGAGAGGAAGAAAGAAAGACTAAAGGGAAAAATGAGGTCAAAAATTTGGGGGTAAAGGCTTTAAATACCGGAGTGGGAGATTGAATGGTGGCCTTTGGATTGAGTGGGATTGGACGGATGAGATCGCATCTCTATAGCTTGGCCAAAATGATGCCGTTTTGGATCTCTTCCAGGCCAACCCATTGTGATATACCGGGTCCTGGGCCATCGATTTGGGCCAATTTTGACTTAAAAATGACAATACTCATTCATTAACCCCCTTAACAAACTATTTAATAATTTAATTCTAAATTCTACAAATATATACAAAATAAACCTAAAATAAAAATATAATGTAAAAAAAATTAGGCATTTACCACATCATTACTGTTTCTTTTTTAATTATATCATCAAGATAGTCTTGTCAGTTTTGAAAGAGTCAACTTATGGATATAAAGATGGCCATCTACTTTATCCAATTCATACTAGTTGTTAATACAATTGCCATTTTATGCTAATTGCTATCTGAATTATTAGTTATGGGCTTATGGCACTAGAGTATTTCTTAAAACTGTTTCACTCACTTTGAGCCTGAAACTTCTATACAGCGTCAAAATAATATTCCTTCCGGTCAAAAATAAGTGACCAATTTGCTTTAGGCACGCTCATTAAGGAAATACTAAATTCTAGACGAAAATAATTAGTGTGACTAAACTATCCTTCATTAAATGTTGTACCATAGTTATAGTAACACTTACTTCTCTTCTCAAATGTGAGGAGTAAATGACTTTTTAGGGATACGTACATTAGGGTAATTTTGGAAAAACAAATTGAATCTTTTTCTTGATTATATAAATGGATACTTATTTTGGACCAAAATAAAAAAAAACAAATTGGTTATTTATTGTGGACCCGGAAAATAGTTAGCAGAGTCTATCCCATCATAGAAAATCTTCTAGAAATAATGTTACACTCAGTGGAAGGAAATCATTAGACACATCAAATTTGTCACCTAACCCTCAAATGATTAGCAAAATCCACTAAAAGCTTTTCCCCCTTTTCCGTGGTCAAGACAAAATTGAACCATATTCCTGCAGTCTACAGATTTTCTTAATTAATTGCAGTCACATAGAAAAACTATAACTGATTACTACGTCAACTTAATTAATTTAACTCTACATCTCATTGTTTTAGCACTTGAGAAGAGTCGAATCATTTGAGGATCCAGCATGTCCCATATTCAAGCTTGGTCTTCCAAGTGTAAATTCAAGATTAACCAATGTATCAGAAGAAGATGAGTTATCAGCTGCATCCATCTGCATAAATCCAATTACACAAAATTAATATACAAATCTTGTCCTAAAAAAATAGGAAAAAACCCCTTATATTCCAATGATGTAACTTACATTTGAATAGATGTGAGGATAAGGAAATGCTCTTTCTCTATCTGAGTGGCTCCATGCATTTGTCTCAGGCATGAATGAAGACGGAACTCTGCTAATTTATTTAAGATAAAAACATGTTTAGTACGTAAGACAAGAAGATCAATTTGAAACGCTATTAGGGTTTTTCTTAGACAGAGAGAGATTTAGGTGGCGGCAACCAAGATTGTGGGCTACGTATATATGATATATCTAACCTAGTGGCGTGCATTTTGTCTGTATATGCTAGGTATATGGACCAATAAGAAATTTGAAAAGTGAACACCAAAATGAAGACGTAAATGGCATGTTAGAATTAGGAAAAGAAATTAGCGCATTAATTAAAACTCAGATATGAATGACCTGAAGAGCATGTTTTAGATGATTTATGGAGGGTATATATACATTAGATCTAGTTAAATGAGAGACTCAATTAAGCAGTGTTGAATGATCCAATTAATGGAATAATAATTATGATTAGTAGATACAATTATGGTCTTGGCATGGCCGTCCATGAAAGAAGTCAACAAAGTCCATCCAAAAAGATCCTTGAATTAATAATCTCGCATAACAATATATGGGGCAAATACAGGACCCCCTACCAATCCTAATTGAAGTGTACCCAAGTGGCACCCTAGCTAGTATACAATTTGGAGATTTGAGCCAAACGGACTGCTTGACTTTTTAGAAACACTTCTCACTTATAGAAATCGGTGCTTAAATCAATTACTCTTCTTCCCCAATAAAAACCAGTGCCTTTCCTTTCAACTACTCCCTCCATCTCAATTTATTTATCGTATTTTTCTCTTACACAGCCTTCTTCAAATTATCTACCATTTTAATCAAGTGAGTTTTATTTAGAATATTTGATTGTTGTTTTAAAAAAATAAGAAGGATTTTTTTCTTCAAAATCATCGTAACTGCTCAATATAGTGTTGTGTTAATTAAGGAAAATATTTAAATGAAATAAATGGACGTAATTTAGATAAATATTCTTATAATGTGAAAATTATTAACTATCTTTTTTGAAAGGATGTATCAAAATCTGAAAAGACAAATAACATGAATCGGGGTAGTAATAAAATAAATACTACTCCCTCCGGTCCAAAATAAGTGATTTTTTGGCCTTTTTTGTGGTCCAAAATAAGTGATTTTTCCAGATTTCAAGAATGAATTATTATTTTTTTTCCTACATTGCCCTTGGAGTAAATAATGTTGGAGTATGTGTTAGGAGTGTTTATGTGAAGAGATAGTAAAGGTTAATATGGTCAATTTAATTGCTAATTAATGTTAAAAGGTGGATTTCGTAATCTGTAGGAAAACAACTAAAAAATCATTTATTTTGGACCGGAGGGAGTACAGTAGTATGGTACTACTCCGTAGTGGATTTTGAGTTCAAATTATTATAGAAAAAATTGGATAGGATTCAACACGTAAATCACTACTTTCAAAACCTAGAAGCCCTTGTATATTATTCACCAAGATCAAGAGACTTAGAGCTGTAGATTATTTAATATACGCCATCATATTGTACCGGAATAAATTCCACGGTCAAGGCATTTTTGTGTGTGTATGTCTGCCTCCTAAACTAATTATTGATTCATCCACATGCTTAGCTATTAACTTCGCATCTATAACAATGCCTTAATAGTATTCTCCACGCTAGCCCTTAAATACAGTTGTCTGACTACAACTATCCTTAGTATATACATTATGATACATGTTTAAGAATATTTTCGAACTCGATCTAATAAGGGCAGCTTGATACACAAGGCGTTCCGTGTTCACGCAGGGTCCGAGGAAGGGTCACACCCAAAAGGTGTGACGCAGACAGCCTAACCTAGTTATACAAGTATTAATGGTTGCTTCCACGGCTCGAACCCATAACCTATAGTCTATTGCTCCGTAGCTCCGTTCGAACTCGATCTAACAATTTAATCAAAAAGGTACAACTAGAATAAAAAATACATATATAAAGCAATAACATTGTACTAGATATATTATAGAGAGAATTGTATTTGTCTACTAGCTAGTTTGGTGCTTATCTATTCGTATGTGTGCATGTCAGTAACCCATTAATGGTTGCCTTTGTTTCCAATTTGTAATGATGAAGAGATGAAAATGCAGCATATTCAAACTAAGTCAGAAGATAAAATGGAGAAATAATGTACTATAGTTGAGAAGCAGATGCACTCACCTGATATGAGCATTTTGTGGTATGGTGTTTGATAGTGATACTGAAGGGTCAGTCATGGTATCAATCTCCTCACAAGATTTTTCATATTCACCAATAGTATTCCCTCTGTTTGGATTCACAAATATCTCTGTCATCCCTTTAGCTACAAATTAAAGTATATAGTAATTTTGTTAATCAGATATTCAGCATATAATAAGTGAATTGTATATATGCATGGATCGTACGGGAGTCTTGGCGTAATTAGTAAAGTTGTTGTCAAGTGACCAGGTTACGGGTTCGAGCCGTGGAAACGGCCTCTTGTACAAATGCAGGGTAAGGCTGCGGACAATAAACCTTTGTGGTCCGGCCCTTCCTTGGACCCCACGCATAGCAAGAACTTAGTGTATCGGGCTGCCCTTATATATATATATACATATATATATATATATGGACTAGATTGAAACCCAATAATACTACTATATATCTTAGCAACCACAAATTTTTGTTTACGAGGAGAACAAAATTTTCCAACTCGCAAACAAAAAGAATAATGGAAGTGAAAAAATACTGGGGTCCTTTAGGAGATGAAATTCCAAATATACCTGTTGTTTTGTCAGTGCTCTTCACTGTTCTATACATCTGCATGAAAAACCACAGAAAGTATATATTAGACGAAAAGTCCACATTGCTAAGATTATCTCTCTAGATGCCTTTTTGTCTTAATCCCTTTGTGCTCCAAAAGAAAAACACCAGGTTTCACATGGATTTTTGCAGTGTAAAAATACAAGATACGAAGGGGAAAAAAGGTACAAAGATATCTATAAGAATCAAATAGAGATCTATTTTCTTCATACATTCAAACGACTATTTATTATATTGGAAAAAGTAACCTTACCTGTAAGTGACTTTTCACATGAGCTAATGTTAGATCCTTCACATTCATCAACTCTAGCACCGATTTTGGTGTTGCTCCTATTCGAAAAAAAGGTATAAAGAAAATTGGTACAACATTTAAACAACAACGACCACTCTGCTTCAATCTCAAGCAAGTGAAGTTTAACAGCGACAACAAGCCCAATATAACTTTACAAGTGGGGTCTGGAAAGGGTAATCTGTACCCAAATCTTACCTCTACCTTGAGAAGGTAGAGAGATTGTTTCTGATAGACCCTCGGCTCAAGCAAGTGAAGCTCATCTATCCAAAATTTAAGATCATCTAATTATTATAATATAATGTTACTTTGAGGGGACTTATTTTCAACTTACGTTCATGTCCGCCTAGAAGCTGAACAGCATGAACAAAATGAGCATGAAGAGTTGAAGTCCATCTCATTCTAGGAGCTCTAACGCTTCTTTTCACCCCACTTATCATTCTTGAACTTCTCTTGAAATCGCGGCCGTATATTTGAGGTTGATATTGCTGGTGATGCTGATGCTGATGATGATATTGAAGGTTTCTATTTGGTAGTTGCCCAAACCCTAGACTTAGGGTCGGCTCAAAAGATGTAAGTAAAGGAAGATTATTAAAAGCTTTTTGTGGGCGAAAAATTCCATTATTTTCGTGGCTCAAATCGCTTCCGCCGCTGCTACCGGACTCCGTCGAAAAACAATGATTATCACACTTTGAAATATTTGAGGGTAAGCTAATCTGTAAAGAAAGATCAGGCATACTTGAACTTATTGTGTCCCTCATAGGTTTTGAGCTGAAAAAGAACGTTCTTTTGAAAAGGGGTCTTGAAAAGAGAGAAATGAACTGTTAAACAGGAAGGGAAAAAGGTTTTTTTGAGTTGTGATTATCTCATGAGTGCCTTATGATTTGCATGTTGTGTATAAAAAGAGAGAGAGAGAGAGAGAGGGAGGGAGCAAAAGAAGAGGAGGGGTTCAGAATAGGCTTTTTGCTAAAGAAAACCTATAAAAAGGATAGGGATTTGATAAAGAAACAAAAGTAGAAATGTGCAGATGAACGAGGAGATGAATAGCAGAGACTATTAGTAAGCTCTAGTCAACATAAATAATACAAGAAAGGTAAATAACTTCAAACTCAGGCTTTTGTTATTCTTGGGGTCTGAATCTGCAAAGGAAAGGTATTGCTTTAAAAGGTTTGTGTAAAGAGGGAACTGTATTTAAGGATGCAGATGTTCAAACGCCTTTAATTTCTTCAAAGAGTTAAATGTTTTGTTTGGACTTTGGGAACAAAGAATTAAGGGGTGGGGTGGGGTTGGGATGGGGGTCCCCTTTTGCTATATTAGCTTTGCAATTTGGAAAATGGTTGTAATAAGAGGTGCAGAGATATGGATGTATTCTTGAAGGGAATGGTTGGAATTCGAGAAAACAAATTAGTGTACTGTTCAATGGAATATTGGGAAAGGAATTGCTCTATCTCTCTCTCATATACACACATTCTTTTGTTCTCTTTTAAGTGTCCATAGATTGCGACCTATAATAAAATTCTGCTGTTTTTATTCCATTAGATGTTTATTTTTGGTCTTTTAGCTTTTTCCTTGTGAAAGAAGGCTTGAGTGACTCGGAGGCCAAAATATCCATTGCCCCAAAAAACTTTAATTTGAAGAATTAATACTAATTAATGTCCTCTAGGCATAAACGGTATCCATGTCATTGTCACCTTATAACAAGCTAACTTAATTCTGGAAACTAAATTGATACTTTTTATTTTCAAGAAAATTTAGTCCTAAACCTCCGGACAACAAATTCAGCTATATAAATTTGAATTTTGTTCTCTTCTAAAGGAATGAGAGGGAAAACACTTGTAATGACAAAGTTTGATTTATATGAAACAAGATGCCAGTTGTCGAATTATTATTATTATTTATTTCACAACTCAATAAATTATCTCAAAGGATTCAATTTCTGCAACATTATTTATTTTTCGTTTTCAATAAATCTTGTGCTTTTATGCTCATTTATCTTTTGTCTATTATATATAGCAATAATGCAACATACTCCTATTTGACATTCCCGCTATGAATTTTGACTGTGCGCTACAAATTCAAAGGGGAACAGAAAATCATGGTTATTAATATAAGGCAAGAATTTCAAGTTGACACAGTGAAATATTACTACAAACCGAAAAATATTCCACACCACGGACATGTATGCACAAATCAAGGTTTAAATGGGAGTCCTAATTACTCTCCTGCGAACATAGAACAAGCGCATTTAATTCCTTCCATGCATAAATTCTATTTGTTTATTGTCTGTTGGACAAGCAATATATTGAGTCATGGCATTATTCAGAATTTACTTATTTCCGAACCATGCACCTTACGGAGTAATTATTCACTCTTCTTCTTTATCCCACAACAATGTATTATGACATCAAGTTACACAAGGAAAAGAATAATAACAACAATACTTTTCTTTTTTTAATTTCACACTCTGGATAGGTATTTTTGTGCTTAGTTGGATCATAGATGCTACATCGACAGATCGGTACATTTTCTTATCTGTTGCTCTCGAAATTTCTAAAAAGAAACGAAACACATGCATTAAATTTTTTGTCTTGAGCATATATCTTTGAACTCTTGAAAATCAAGGTCGTCCATGGGAAGAATCCTCGTCCAGGATTTAAAATTTATGGGTTCCTATAATTATTTCAAGAAAATATACAAAAATAATTTGATTTATGGTCTAATATTTAAGTATATTTAATAATTTTTTTAATATATACAAGGTATGAGCAAAAACTACTGAATTCCGATAAACCTGTACTTTATTTTTTTTTTTTTTTTTGGATCTACCTCAGATGAGTCCAATATAAGTCCAGCCATGGATAAGTTTGTGTAGTCTTGCTCGTTATTTGGTCACGGGGTTGAACTTTACAAAGACGGGGTTTAATAAAAAAGATTTAGTCACGCTCTTGATATTTAAATTTAGTTAATCAATACCATACGATATGTGTCTTATATATATTGCTATATTGAATTATCGGGGTTAATTAATATGTATTTGAGCCTTAATCTACACTTGATCATCCTAAATTAATGAATTGCTATATAAACACACGACGTAAGTAAATCTTTTAATTTGCAGAGTGTAGAGTTGGAGTCTTGGACCATAAATAATAGCTTGCTGTACACGTGCGAAGTTCCCACAAATAACGGGGTTCAGTCGTGGCGTATTGGGAGATATATAACGGGAAAGAGGAGATCGAGTAGACGTAGAGAAGGAAAATAAGAGTGAGAGAGAATAGGCTGGAGTGTCAGAGGGTGGCTGGGACTTTCGGCGACACCGGCGCTTCAGACCCACATGTATCTGACGCTACCCCCATTCTTATTCAACCTAGTGCCACTTCTCTATTCATTTCATATCATATATACTATTTCTCTACTAGTAATATTTTGGGATTAAGATATCTCCATGTTCTTTTATGAGTAAAAATCAAGACACTAGGTTATTCTTGAGGGAGGTCCGAGCTAGTAGGGAAAGAGGCATAAAAAAGGCTTGTAAGTTGTGATGGAATAATGTACCTTATACCTCGGTCTTAAAAGGCAGAATTGGAACTCGCCCGGGGCTCGCCCTGGGGCGGAGCACTCGTAAAACGCCCCTGGGTTTATGTGTGGGCTTAGTTCCGTGAGACTTACGCCTCGGCCGTTGGGGCTTACGCCCCGGACACGCCCATCGTACTGGGCTCGCCGCCTAATAGAACTTTATGCAATTGTGTGTAACTAATATTGTAGATCCTCAAAATTTCTTAATAAATCCTTGATTCAAAATTACTTTTTTCTTAATCATAAATCATTAAGTTGAGAGTATTTATATCATAATTAAAATAAAAATTATTGCGCGTTATCCGCTAAGATTGCTATGATAGTAAATTTTACATAAATCTTTCATTAAAGTATTTATTTATTAACTTTTGTTATGTCTTTATATTAGTACATGATTTTTTTTAAATTATTTTCCTAAATATTATTGTTTTCACGTTTACGAGATACAAAACTTATTAATTTAATATCTTAGTATTAGCTAGTAACTATTTGCAAATTATTAGTTATCATGATATAGTACAGTGAATTATGTGTCACTTTATAACTTGTTAAAACTTAAAAATAAATAATGCTAGAGAATCATATTTAAAATGTGAATTATATTTTTATATAAATTCTCTTTCAAATAGAAAGCATATTAAATAAAGGGAGTATTTTTAAAAAAAAATCAAATTATAATATCGAAATTCTTTCAAGATTCATTACTCCTTAAGAGATACATATAAGATTTCGCATCGAATACATTACTTTTGATGTTTGAGTTGCAACGACGTTGCGGCTAATTTGCATATTATGATATATATCATACTTTTTGTATTATTCATAGTTGAATTATAATTTATAAATATTTTAAATAGATTATTTGTAATAATTTTGTGATTTTAATGTAATTTTTATGATTATTTTTTATTTTATACTATCTTAAAATTCTTGAAATTAGTAAAATTTAAAGATTCGTGGGACTTATGCCCCATGTCTCAGGGCTTACGTCTCGCTTCGTCAGAGGTAAAACGTCTCGCCTCACGCCCCTATGTCAAGACCCGGATTTTCCACCCTCGAGAGTCGTGATGGCGCCTACTAATGGGAGCTAGGCAAGCCAATTTAATCTACCTTTTTGCAACAATTACCAACCATTTAATAAAATCAAACATAATGACATAAAGCGGAAGTCTTAAAAACATAGATAACTGAAAACCAAATACGGAAGTTTAAATACAAATCTTCCCAGATCCGGTGTCACTAACTCACGAACTACTAAAGAGTGCTAAAAACAAGTCCGAATAGAAGTACATCAATGTTTGTCTCCGTACAAGGAAAACAAACTAATAACATAGAAGGGACTCCGGCCTGCGGACGTCAGCTAGGCTACCTCGAAAGTCCCTGGACTGAAGTCAGCTCCCGATCAAATCCTACTGTTGAGGCCCAAAAGCTGCTCCTGGATCTGTGCAAAAAGATGCACAGAGTGTAGCATCAGCACAACCGACCCCATGTGCTGGTAAGTGCCTGGCCTAACCCCGGCGAAGTAGTGACGCGGCTAGACAGGACCTACCAAAAACAACCTGTGCAGATATATATATATATATATATATACAAGTGCAACGAAATAACAGCAGAAAATACCAATTAAGGCGGGAAGGGGACATGCTTAGGGAAAATACAGATGAAAACAACTTATCAGAAGTAAACACGAAACTATATCAGATCTCATAATCTATTTAAGTGGTCGGCGTGCCACACGATCCCATTTCATAGTATATAAGTAGTCGGCGTGCCACACGATCCCATTTCATAATATATAAGTGGTCGGCGTGCCACACGATCCCATTCATAATATATAAGTGGTCGGCGTGCCACACGATCCCATTTCATAATATATAAGTGGTCGGCGTGCCACACGATCCCATTTCATAATATATAAGTGATCGGCGTGCCACACGATCCCATTTTATAATATATAAGTGGTTTTCAGGCAAGGGAGAATACGCTAAGCAGTTAAATCCCGGCAAGGGAGCAACAACAATAACTTACACGTCCCGACGAGGGAATAATCACATTTCTTTCTCTTACGTTCATTTCTTACTTTTAAATCGAGTCAAAGATCGAGCCAATGCTCCAAAGAGTTTACACATCATATTTCCTTCTCATTCTCTTCATATCATATAGAAACCATCAATTAACAAGGAAGAGTCACTACAGAATCCCAATTAAGCACAAATAAAGACCCACGGTCAGGCTAGACACCGGTGTATAGATACTCGTCACCATGCCTATACACCGTACTCAACATTTAGCAATTAGCAAATAATACTCTAATCCTATTCCCTCAAGCCAAAGTTAGATCAAACACTTACCTCAAATGCTCCAAAAATCAACTCAAGCCTCTAGTATAGCTTAACCCCTCGAATTCCGCTCCAACACGGGCAAATCTATGAAATAACGACTTTACAATATTAATAATAGCTAAACAAACTAAACCCAATGCCTAAATATGAATTTCTAAGCTTTCTTCCCAAAATTTCAAAAATCGACCCCGGGCCCGCTTGGTCAAAAAACGAGGTTCGAACCAAGTTCATATCACCCATTCACCCACGAGCCCGAATATATAATTTGTTTTCAAATTCGACCCCAAAACGAGATCTAAATCAAGAAAAATTGAAAAACCCTAACTCTACCCTTTTCCCCCAATTTCAAACCTAGATTACATGATTTAGGTTTAGAAACTCATTAATTAATGAAGGAAGATGAAGGAAATGAGCAGGAATTTACTTCTCAAGAAGCTTTGGTGAAGAAGTGCTCAAAAATTCGCTCAAGAGCTGTGGAGAAGAAGAACTCGTGTGATATATGGACTAAATCCCGTCACTGTTCTGTT